GAGATAAAGAACTACAGAGAGCTGTAGTCGTAAAAGATTCGGAACAAACAGTCAAGATAAATAACAGGAAAGATTAAGACCAAAGTTGAGTGACGTCGGAGAAACTGAGAGGCGGAGGACACAACTCTTTGATATTTGCATACTGCACTCTGCGAGGGAGGAATTTTGGCGAGGGGGATAGGGGAGAAGGAGAAGCGGAGAGGACCGACGCGGCGCGGGCGGTTCAGTGTGAGAGCGCGACCTCCTTCTCTCGCGGAGTGTTAAATTAAATTATTATTATCCCCATTATCATTAAGCACGCCGAGTACTAGTACCCCCCTCAACCCCGATATACATCTCGGGGATCCGCGTGTGCGGGCACATACACACACGTACACACCCTCACGGATGCATACGTGCAACGTATACACCGTATACACGTCTCCGCGTATTTGTAGGCAGATCGAGGTACGAGATGTCGACGTGCATATAATTCTCTCGGGACGCCATTAAATTGTATTAATCCACTTCCATCACGAAATTGAAGTTCATACACGATAAATGTACGTACGTACCTGCTGCGATACGCTTGATGTACGCGAAGTGTGTAACCCCCTCCCCCCAGTTTTCTCTGGTGCCCTTACATTCTTATCGATCTTGTGCGACAAATTTTTTCTACTCGACGATATCTCGCGCGAGGATCGCGTGTAACCCTCGTACCGTTTCGTACTTATTAATCCCGACGGGAGAGAACGGCGCGATGAACAAAGTTAAGTCAACCGTAAGGGAATCATTTAAGTGTCGTTACTTCGCTACCGGGCATTTTAATCACCGACACTTTGTCCCTTACATTACTCAGGGATCGATTATGTCAAAAAGAAAGATCTCTCGTAGATGATAACTCTGCGAAATATAGATATTCTACAACGAGCACGTAACAAATATCACTTTTTTGCGCTGATGTGTTTCTCCATTAATTTATTTTCACTCAAATTAACGGGGCGATAGCAGGTAATGTTCGTACTTTTCGAGCAGGTCGATAATCAGAGACAATATCAAAACCCTGTTAAATTAAGCATAGTTGATACGCAATCGTGACACACCACGGTGATAATTGGATCGTACGGCATTGCGGCGGAGGTACGTTCGTTCGAGCTTCATTCGTGTTTTCCGACAATGCCGTTGTTTATCCCATATCGCGAAATGAGTTTCGGAATGAGTGGCGTGGGAGTGCGGGTAGCGCGAGGATGCAACGAGGATGGGGATTGAGAGTAGATATATAGACGGGCGCGAATTCTCGGAAATGCATATCTCGTATGCTGCAATCGTTTCGCGAATTCAAGAGCTTTGAAAAAATGCCGGAGGCTGCGGTTTCCGTAGATTCTGGAGGGAACTGGGATGGAAAGGGAACAAAAAACGACAACATACTTTTTTATCTACTGCCTAGTCGCCGATGTGGTCTATTTTTTCACGCATTTTACATCCGTAAACCAAATATTCTTCCAATTCCGATTGTTGTCTCTCGTAAAGCTTGCATATTCTATATGTATATGTGCTCGTACTAATCCTTAAGTGATCGTCCGAGCAGTTGTCATCACACATATGTGGTCATGCGCGACGTATTCTGTGCTCTGAGAAAATAACGCTGTATTACATGTTATGATTAGAGTTTTTGTTCCTCTTTGGCTTTTTTCTAAAGTCCTACTTTATATTAACTTTGATTTTAACTTTTGTTCTTCATTCAAATATTCAATACAATACAATACTTTCACAGCATATTCTAGAGGTAAAGTCGAATAAAAATCTTAATACGGAAATATTGAGGCTGCAATAATTTTTTGAATTTAAGCATAACTGTAATTGCTTACAACACAAAAATTTTATTTTTTCTATTTTACTTCTTTAAACTCTTCTTTGTTGTATTTTACTTCTATTAATATTTCTAAATTCTTTCTAAGACAAAAATCCTAATACAAAAATGTCGAGGCTATAATAGTTTTTGAATTACAAACTATATTTGATCAATTATAATTCAAAAACTACTGTAGCTTTGACAATTTCGTATTAGAATTTTTTACTCTATTTTACCTCTGGAAACTTTACACTATAAAAATATTTTACGGTTTATATATTTTATGGTTATGAGACACCCTGTACATTGTTGTTTGCAATTGTGATTAATTCAATCGATTGAATAAAAATTACTGACTACTAATTAAAAAATTAATCGTTATTTATTACTTATTATTAGTTTTTGGTTACAGGATAGAACAAACACGATTAATGTATGCCCAATCTTTTTTCCAGTTTACATAGAAACAAAATAATTCATCGACCAATATCGATTTAAACATTTTTTCGATATGACAAAATAATAGTTCTTTAATAATAGCAATAAAAATTATAAATACAATTTTTTTAGATAATTAAAAATTAACGATTCATAATTAATACAATTAATTTTTAATCGATTACTTTACCCTAGAATAAACTTAATCGATTAATTGTAGAAAATTATATTTCACGAATAATTTCATTAATTGATTATATTAATCATGATTAGGGTAACTCCGGTAAATACGCCGCGCTGGGATTTACGCCGCAGAAATCAGAAAAAATAGGAGTGGGGATAATTTTCCCGCAACTACTCTATTACATGCCTTTATATTATATTAGTATTGTGTTATGATTTCAGCTTCTTGTTAATATTAATGAAATTATTGTGAGTTGAATCAATTTGTCACTGTAATAAGTAGCACTATCATAAATTAAAATCTACATAAAACGATTACTGTAGGACGTGTAAAAGACTTAGTGGTTATTTCGTGATACATACGTGTAGAGAAATAGTAAAGCATGTTGTATAGCAAAATACAAGTACTTTGCTTTCGTATTCTTTGTTTAGTTCGTTGTCTTGTATATCCTACCTGTTTGGGACATTTTTAGCGGGCGGGATTTATGCCCAAAGCATACAAAGTGCGCAAATTGAATTCAGTGCACTAAATGCAATAAACACATTACATGAAACATGTACCTCATGTCATAACGCTTGTAATATATGTAGGAAGATTGTAATTATTATCTATTACTTGATATACATATTTATCATTCTTATTCCTTAATAAAACTTTATAAACACATTTTATAAGTTATTGTGTCATTTAATATACGAAAAATAAATATATATATATATATATTTCGGATTTCTAATATTTTTTTCATAGTAGTAGACAATACAAAGTTTTTACTGATATAGTTCGTTTACTTTAAACATAGTAAATAATACTTAATAAATCAAGTTTTTGATAGGTGCGGCGTATGTACTGGAGTTATTAGTAGAGGATTTTTCGACTCAGTTTAGTCTACTTTATCTGCATACGAGCGCTTTGTTAAAACTTACCGGACATTCTGTATATTTTAAATTTTTAGTCGATTATTTTAGTTAAAAAATAAAACGATCTATTAATGTCCAATACTACTTTATTCATATATCTATCGCATAATAAACAAAAAACATAATATTGTACAAAAATTTAAAACAGAAAAAGTACATAATGAATCGCGCGGCATATACATGCAGAAGACTGCACCAAACGTGAAATTAAAAAGAAATACGTTAATTTTGCTGTTGCGATTTTGATGTCGCGTTGCGCAAAATAGCGTGAACAATGTTAATATTCCGTGTCTAAAAGATCACTAAGAGGGTTAGATGGAGGAAGACCACTCGGATGTTATCATTATTTTATGCAGCTTTATTCGAGGATGACATACTCTGTGCGTCAGCATGACCACTTAAGGATTTAAGAGAAGAAACGAGATGTCGCAAACTCGCGAATTGTCTCCATTTGATATTTTGATCTTGACGAAATTTTAACAGATTTCAATTGCCCAGCCGACTATCTCGAGCGAGTAGAATATGAGCTCCAAACAGTTTTAAGTGATCGTTTAAAATTCAATATGCGAAAGCATCTACGAAACTTGTCACGCTCCAACTTGCCGTCAATTTTATATCTCGCGATTGTTTTTTAAACAAAGATCAGCATTATAGTAGATACCTTTAGGTGTTCTCGTGAATCCAAAAGTACTTTATCGTTTCTTAAACCATTTCCAATACTCAAGTATTCAAAAGTTACACTTTGCAGACTCGAATGCATAAGTCACACGGGGGACTGCTTAAAAATTCAGAAAGTCAGCACTTTAGTTATTACCAATAGACTGTCATTCCCGTCGTGGCAGAATAAATGTATGACTACTTTCAAACGGCTAGTGCGGCAAGAATCAGTAATATCCTCGAACGCAGGCCAGCCTTTCCAAACTATATCTCTCCTATTTCATAACTTTCCCAATTTCAAGAACAGAGAAGCGAGAAAATAGCATAGGCGTCGAAAAACTCCGCACCAGTACCGAGATAGCGAGAATTTAGATGGGAATATAGACGTGATATTCTAGTTGAAGTCAAAAATTACTAAAGTTAAACGTGAGGAAACACCTTTAAAATTGAAGGACGACGACGTTGAGCGAAACTTACGCACTAGCGGCGTAAAGTGGCCATCACAAAGAATTTATTGTGGGAGACAGTTGTATCGAGCAACGGGCTAGAGGATGATAAGTGTTGATTCCTGTTGTGAAGCAATTTGCGATTGCTACCTTCAGATAGTGGGCTCGACGTGCGCGTTATCATCAGCCGTTGCACCCGTTCATATAATAGCGAGCCGCAAATAGGCCATCGACGTCGCGTTGCGAACAAAAGCAAAACAGCGTCGCGCAACGGGCAGGCCCCAGCGGATGTCCGAAACGCCGCGCATTCCCGACGCGGATCGTCGGCGATTAATCGAATCGATCGAGCAGCACGGCGCGGCAACGGTAACGGCAACGTCAACGGCAACGGCAACAGCAACGGCGGTGGAGCCTCTCGTTCGACAAAAGCCCTGATTCATGCGTCAGCGCACGAGGCGCCCGCGCCCGCGCCGCGCCGGTCCAAGCCGATGCGCGATGCAAAAACCACACAACACTGCACTTACCCCCGATCCGTCCGAGGCAGAACAATAACAAGCTGGTCAGACCAATCCAATCCATGATGATTCGGCTCGATTTTTTTACCGCCTCCGACTGCAGTCGTTCAACTCTAAGGAGAGAAGAGAGAATCGGAGTTGGTCTACACGCGCGTGGCTCTAATTGCACGCGCGAGATCGAAAATCAAATCGCTTCCTCACAGCGCACTTCGTACTCCGGTTTCTCTTATCGCACCCACGCACGAGAGATGTTTTCACATTAAAAATCCACTTGTCAACAATCGCGTCGTCACAAAATACGTCGTACAAGTAATCGTCGACGAACCGTTTTGAATATTACTCCTCGTTTCTTTCTTTTTATTTTTTTTCCTTTTTTTCTAACGTTTAATTATCACTCAACCATTCCTCGTCGACTGGAGGCACCGCGCACTCATTAACCCTCTCACAGCGAGTCACGGCGACACTCATGGGGCACACGCGGGTCCCGATCGTGCGGCGAACACGCGTCGCGCGGAAATAGCGGGTGGCAGCGGCGGCGGCGAGGAGGCATTCGGGGAGAGATAGAGGAAGAGAAAGAGAGAGAGAGAACGTGCGTCCGTACCCCACGATGATCGCGTGTGCGGAGCAGTGGCGGCGGCGCGGCCTACGGGCTTTAGAACGCGGGGCGCCGTCTCCCACCCTCACGCGCGCGGCCGGCGGCAGCACCGCGTAGTAACCCCCTCTCGCTCGCCTACATTCCTCTCTCTCTCTCTCTCTTTCTCTCTCGGTCGTTCGCACGCGCGCCCGAGAGTACCCGAAGTTGGAACAGCACGAGGCCGAAATAGGGGTATCTCGGCACGAACTAGCCCGAATGAATCCGAGAGAGAGAGAGAAAGAGGGGAGGGGGAGGAAATTGAGAAAGGGAAGGAGAGAGCGAGAGATTTTCTGCGAGCGCCTGTGCGGAAGTTGCACTCTACGCATCGTCGCAAGACTATTAATGCGAAATGCGGATAAGAATTTTTGCGAATTAATATCTAACGTTTTATATTTTCGGTTATTTTGTTTTGCAATGATACCTTATTCTTTCAACGAACCATAGATAGCTGGAAAGTTGGACCAAATAAAAGACAACTCGATGAACTAAATAATATTAATTAAACTCGATGACGATATTTAAATATATGTCAAGTTTGAATAATCTTTCAACAAATTTTAATGACAAATATTATATGTATTATATATAAAATATTATATACAATATATATATATTTGTCGTTAAAATTTGTGAAACAATTATTCAAACTTGGCGTTTATTAAATAGCGTTTTTAATTAATTAGGTTATTTAATTCGCCTTTATTTTAATATATGTGTACATATATATGCACGTTATATTATTATATACAAAATTACTCAATCTTATTACTTAATTATCTTAAAGTATACTATTGTATATTATAAAATATATAATATTATAGTTTCATAAAATATAATATTACATAATATCAAATTGCATTAGAGTTCATTTATTCATGACACTGTTTTCTCTTGGATTGTCATAAACTATCGATATTTTCGAAAGGAAACACTCTCCGGTATCTTGTGATACGATATCGAATGACTTGACTGAAAGTATCCGTATTCTATTAAGTCTAAGCCTCTCCACGCCAAGTGAATAAAAGCACATCCGCACTTAAACTTAAGCATTCTTCTAGCCGTGGGAAACGGATGGAATATATCGACTCGATTCTCGTTCAAGCGATAGGCTCCTTGTATCGTTCCGACTTTAGTGGCGCGCGGATGGGGCCCGAAAAGTTAACCTTCTTCCCCTATACCCCACCCTCGCTTTTCCTCGGTACCTCTTAAACTTTGGTTAAACTCTTTCTATGGTGACGTAATGCGGTCTACATTCGGGCGAATTCGATATAAGCGCGCCGAGTTATGTGGAACGTTTTTCTTCGAAACTTTAAGTTATGCGGTATGGAGTCAAATACGCGTGAGATATATATATGTATATGTGTGTGGGTGTGTGTGTGTGGATACATGCTAAATCTTGTCTGTGAACATCCGAGATTGCCTCGCACGAAGTGCGTTATACAGTGATGTATCATCAAAGACAATACGTTATAGACAGGTCGAGAGAGTCTCGCGTCTCATGCAGCGCGACTGCAGGGCGAATTTTCTTTTTTCTTTTATAGCAAGAAGTAAAAGGATTAGTTCTTTGAGAAATAAGAGCTGGAAATGTTTCAGTTACCTCTTCCTCATGTTAAATGATTCCGTGTTCAAGCGACGCTTATATCGAATTCCATCTAGCATGTACGGCGTCAGGTTGCACCTGAAGGCGTAGTAAACCGAATGAGAGCGGTAGGGATGTAATCGTAGAGGAAGGCCGAGATATCACGGTGTGTGCATGCGTTTGTGCACGCGGGGTCGCCGCCAAGTAAAATACGAGGGGTACGTAATGAGAATCCAAAAATCAAAGGAAAATGCAGGAAATGCAACTATCGCTGGTGCATCATACCGCATTTTTCGCTTCCGAGGGCGGAAACGCAGAAAAACAGATATATGCGGGTGCACGAAAAGCAATGTTGTGTTTGCGGACGTCAGGTACAACTGGAAACCTGTGACGGATTTATAGTACGCGGGGCCCGCGGCGCGTCGCCATTTTTCCGAGACCCCGTTATTGATCTGTCAAAATATTGATCCGCCTGAGAATGTTCTTAAATGTCGAAACGCGCATGGGGCGGCGCGAAATGCAATTAATTAGAGCTACCATTGTGACGATAAAACATTCATAATATAAATTATCGTAATAATAATAATTGCTAGTCTGTTTTTAATTATAACTTCTATTACAATATATCTGTAAATTTAATTGCGTTTTTGATTATAATTTAACGGAAATCGAATTGATTCACATATTTTCTCATATTTCTCTTATTTCGAGCGTCAATTAATTTGAGACAGTCCAACAGTCAGGATACATCTCGAAAAATTTCCCGGAACTGCCCCGGACAGAGAAAAGAAAAGCGGAAAGTAGAAAATTATGCACTGACACGTTTCTTACTCCGGACAACAGTATTTTTTTCTTCTTGCCTTTATTTCCGAAGCATGAAGCCCTTGAGCCCTGTAGTATCGCGCGTAAATCCGCCGTGGCAACACGGGATCCTCCGAAGTAATCAGAATTGCGTCTATTCGCGCGCCATCCTTCTCACCCTCGCGTCGTCGTTCCAAATACATACCCTCTGTTCTGTCTCTTCCGTAGAGCGCCCGACTTTCTTGCCCCCGCGTCTGATACGCAAACGTGTGCCCCATTCCGTCCGCAGCCGATCGCGGATTTCCGTTTTTACAAGTTTTTACAGCAGTGTTTGTAAACGGATGGTCTAAGAGCGAGATGGACCAG